CCTTTATTCCCTCATTATTGTTTCTGTCTCAATTCTCGCTTAAGTAAAATGTCAGTTTTCAACTTTGTATGCCTGTGTTGTTAATTGTTGGGGAAATTTGTTACACCATGGATTAAACAGGCTTTGTTGAATGCTGATATACTTCAGTAGTTCTTATCACTTTTGTTTTCTTTTGTCATACTCCCTCTCACTGTTTTGCTTAATTAATTAATAGCATGACGCTGCATAGCATGCATGCAACCATGTACCCTTAAATGATCCACATAATAAACTTATTTGCTAGTCTACACTATAATCACGTTAATTTTTTGCTGATTCATTCAGCATGGTCTGCCATTTATGCATGGCCGACTTCAATTGCTATAAGGGGAGGTATTACAATTGTGAACCTGCCTTCATAATAGGCATGTACATAATTTACTTTATTATTAAAATACACACTACTTAAGTGTGTAGATTATAGGTATAATACATGTTAATAATGAGATGCCTACAGTGAGCATCAGATAGATACAATAATGTGAGACAAAACCCAATTTACACTATGCCCTTTTTAAAGCTGTCTATTATAATCCATTTTCTTTAATTTAATTTATGACTAGCAATAACAACACTAAAGAATGGTTCCATTTATCTACACAACCATGTTCTATAGTCTTGATTTGTATAGTAAAAAATTGAAGGTAGTTAAATTTGGCAATTTAGGTATTTTGATAGCCTTTTGCCAAAATAAAAATCTGCTCTTTTGAACCATTATGCACATGCTCAATGGCATGTGGCCACAAATTTGCTAGATTAAAATTTGTAAAACATGAAAATGTAGCCATTTGAGTAATTTAACTCCCTCCAAAATTCCCTGCTAGCTAGATCTATAATTACAATATAACGTGTCCTGAAATTGCCAACGGCAAGCTGGTCATCTGCAATAATTATATTTATACCTGTTAAAAAATTATACTCATACTTTTCCATAATATGTGACCCGATATGGGAAAACCAGGCTATCTGCGGGAATAATCATTTTGAGCTATGGGCTCATAATCACGAAAAATCTTTACCTGGGCGAAATTCATTTTATCACATAAACAAGTTAAATAAACAAAATCCTTTCATTTGATACCAAAATCAGGGGTAGCGAAGCCTTCTTTGCCGATTTATAAGCCCTTCGACATTTTACTTTGATTGTGCACAGAGAATGTTACACTGAGCGACCACGGAATAGAAACGGAGAGCTTTAATGCGTCATTAGGTAACCATGGAGTCTCTATAGCAACTATTTAAAGTATAACAAAGACAAAGGAGACTACTTATAAAAAATATGGCTACAGAAAGAGACATTGCTCGCTTGTTAAATGAAGAAATAGGTCCTCGAGACAGTGACTACGTTGCTTCAGTTCTTGGGGACTACTTTTGTGATGAAACTAGTGGTAAGCTTATTCATAACACTGTTTACATACTAACTGTGAATAGTGGTTAGCTATCACAACAATGACATTCCATCACCTGTATAAATGCACAATATTATTATATTATACTTAGTTATACAGTGTATTTGTTAATTGATAGAGACAGACTATGAAGCAGTAGAAGATATGAAAGAAGAGGTAGGGGAAGGGAAAGAAGAAGAGAAAGAGACAAAAGATTGTGATGAAGATATTAATCCACCACTGTTTGATCCTGAGGTGGCTGTGGAGCTACAAGTATCAGATCTTGATTTAGAATCAGCGATGCCTCATGCTCCAGCTACTTCAACTACTCACTCTGGTGATGACATGAGGAAGGAAGACCTACAGGAGGAAGAAGAATTATCAAAGTTCTTTGAACATGGATGTGGTTGCTCAGATAATTGCTATGCACTGTTCAGTCACTCTTACATAAAAACATATAGATGTGACATACAAGCCATGGCAAAGCCTGTTCAAGAAATTGCTATTATGAGTCAAATGGCAGCAACATCTACCATGGGGGGATTGTCGACTGGCAACCACAGGAGACAGAAAGGGAGAAAGAGGCAATTTTTTACATTCATGCACCAAGGTCATAAGGTTTGTAACTATGAGTGACACAACACAAAATTAATCGTTTTTCAACTAAATATGTAGAGTAACATTTCTGAAGCTACATGCATGTGGCAAAAGCAGGTTTGAGGAAATCATGAAAAACTATAGAATGAATGGATTAATACCAAGGTATGAGACTTACAAATTCAATGTTATGTACTTAACTTTATGAGAGTTCATGGAAATGCTGGAAAGACACCAAACCATGCTTTGACTTATGATGATATTCTCCAGGTTGTTGCTTTCATCAGAAATTACGCTGAAGTCCATGGAATCAGTCTTCCTGGAAGAATACCTGGAATGAAAAGTTACGAGAATAAGAAGTTCTTACCATGCAGTACATCTAAAAGGCAGGTATACTTAGAGTATGCGGAATCATGTGAAGGGCTTTATGTCAAAGCATGTGCTAAAACAACATTCAACATGTTGTGGCGATGCTACCTGCCTTATATTGAAAAAATGAAGCCTATGTCTGACTTGTGTGCCACTTGTAAAGAGACAAGTGGACTGATTATAAGAAGTGCTAACATGCAATCAGATGAAAGGATAAATGAGGTAAGTCAGTATTGTAATAACACAAGTATTATTTAGAATTTTCAGGCAATGCAAAAGGCACTAGATCACAGAAGTCTTGTTAAAAAGGAAAGGGAGTACTATAAGGATGTACTAAAAGAGGCACAATTATTGTTGAAAGGGCTGTATACTGATGCAGCAAACAATTACAATCCCCCACTAACAAGGCCACTTGCTACGTTACATATTGTAGCACATTATAGCTTCGATTATGCTCAACAGGTAACATTTTATGATAATTATGAAAGTGTATCTAGCTTACTTACTTTTTTAATGGTTCACTATCTTTCAAGTCCACTACAAGCAGGTCCAATTTATTTTCTTACTCCCAGGAAATGTGGCATATTTGGCGTGTGCTGTGAAGCTATCCCTCAGCAGGTTAATTTCTTGATCGATGAATCATTCGACACTGGTAAAGGGGCAAATCCTGTCATAAGCATGGTACATTTTTATTTGAAGAATCATGGCCTCAACTCAGTCAGTATCCATTTCAATGCTGACAACTGCACAGGGCAAAATAAAAATAACACAGTTATTCAAGTAAGTATATTACATGCACAATAATGAACATTTTAAATGTAATTCTTTATTTATTTTAGTACCTCTTATGGAGAGTCATGACAGGACTCAGTGCGTCCATTTCAATATCCTTTCTGCCAGTTGGACACACAAAATTTTCTCCAGACTGGTGCTTTGGACTATTAAAGCAAAAATTCCGTAAAGCAGAGGTGGACTTATTGGATGACTTCATTCAAGTTGTAGAACAATCATCTGCTGTGAACAAAGCCCAACCAGTAGGAAGTAGCAATGGTGAACTCATTGTAGAAACACTTGACTGGTGTACTTACTTTGCTACATTATTCAAGAAAATAAAAGGCATCAAAGGCTTTCAACACTTTGTTGTAAATGCGACCTCACCTGGTGTAGTTGCAGCCAGACAAGCTGTAGATGGCCCAGTCACACAATTCAATTTGCTGAAGGAGGACGCTCAAATAATGGAAGATGAACTACCTAATATATTACCACCAAAGGGTATGTCAACTGAAGGAAATGGTACCTTTACGAAAAGATAAGATCGTTTTGCAGATATGAATGTAAAGATGAAACCTGCCCACTTCCTGATGCACCTCGACCAACAGGATCATCTCGACAATCAACTCCAGGTTTAGATAATCCACCAGACCTTGCAATGGAGATTGAAGTACCACATTCTCCAAGGCAATCTCTAGAACCACCTTCAACACAAAGAAAATGTGGTAATTGTGGTCAATTTGGTCATAATAGAAGAACTTGTCCATGTAATCAGTAAATGAATAACAGAAATGAGTTTGTGTAATGCACATACTATTGATCCCCTTTCAACGGGAGAGGAACTAGTTTGTCTACAACAAACAGACTATTGATCCCCTGAAACAGGAGTGGAACTAGTTTGAATGCCAAACATTCAAACTATTGATCTCCTGAAACAGGAGTGGAACTAGTTTGAATGCCAAATATTCAAACTATTGATCCCCTAAAGGAGAGGAACTCGTTTGTAACGCTAAGACATACAAACTATGGATCCCCATTTTTGAAAACAAAGGTGTGGAACTAGTATGTGCGTGAGACGTCAACATAAACACAAACACTCATTTTTGTTTAAAACTTACTAACTCAAAAGGGAAGGCTGAGAAAAAGTTAGTCTCGGCTGAGAGAAAGTTAGTCTCGAAGTTATCATGCAGGTGATATGTGTTTATCTTTACAGGTGAGAGGACTGATGATAAAAATTTGTGGGAGAAGAATACCGAAATAGAAGTCATTGCTTCATTCACAGCCAATCAAAGAACACCAAGTGTCAACTGTGACCTTTAGGATATAAAATAAGACACCTGAAACTGTAAGTTCAAAATCAAAAAGTAATGGCTGCCCCAATAGAGGATGTCCTCATTGAGGTCCATCCATCTGATGGTAAGTTGGGAATGTGTAACCCTATAGTGATAACTATAATGCCTTTTTTTGGTAGATGAACTTGGTAAGTTGTTTATATGTTTGTGTTGTACATTAAAAAGCTAAAAATAACTGTATTTATAGCAGAAAAAATGTCAGGGAGAAAGAGAAGAAAGGAGACAGAGGAGAAAGGGGAAAGAGACAAAAAGGACAGAGACAAAGAGGAGAGAGGAGACAGTACAAAAAAGAATGGTAAGATTGAGTGAAATTGACATTGAAAATGACATTGCTTTTAATAGAATCAAATGGCCTAAGTAAGTTTTCTTTTATGATTGCAATCTAATAATTTTTGCTGTCAAGCAGATGTAAGAAGGACCATTGAATTAAAAAGTAACTTTGCATTGTATTTTGGTTAGTTTTATTTACAAACATTAGGCGAGAAGAAAGAAGGAAGGCCCTTAGGTAAATAAATTAATAACAGTTGAATTACTTGTACTTTCATTTAACACTAATTATTAACTTTAAGACTTGGAACAGTTTCGGCCAGCTCTTAAAAGTAAACATAATTTAAGTGTAAATTAAAGGCTTTATGACATTGTAAATTAGGACAGCTGGAACTAATAGAAGAAGGAGGGAGAGAGGAGAAATAAAGGACAGTGATGATGGGGAAGAAACAGGGGCTGAAAACGAAACAGAGGGGACAGAAGAGATGGAGGCGGGTGAAGACACAAGCACGGGATGGGAGACAGAGAGAGAGAAGGGAAAGAAATTCAAAGTAACAATGGAGCATTAATGTAAACAATAATAACTTAATCTCTTTTTGTTAGAAGAAAAGGAGACAACATAGGGGTAAAGGGAAGCAGGGACGAGGTGGAGGGAGAGGAGCAGGAAGAGGAGGTGGCCAAAAAAGAGGGGGAGGTGGCCAAGGAAGAGGTGGAGGTGGCCAAGGAAGAGGGGTAGGTAGCCAAGGAAGAGGAGGAGGCCCCGCTACAACAGTAATTGAAAGAAACATCATTAAACATAACAATAACAACAAATCTTTCATAGGATTCATCCACAAGTGCAAAGACCATGAACTATTTTAACGTTACATGTAAACAACTTAATTAAACTTCTAAATAAAAATATTATTTATTACCTGTAAACTCAAGGAAAAGCGATGGCTGGATTTGAATGAAGTATGTGGATGATCTGTGTTCAAAACAGTCCATAAAGAGGACTTTTAGCACTAGAAGACGTAATAATAATTCTATAACTTGGTAATAAAAAACATACTAGTATTTGAAGTCAACATGAATGGCAGGGCTTTAGACAACTCTTAAGAGGCCATTATACAAGAAAAGATAGTTCAAATGCTGTCAAAAGCGAGTCAAAAGTGCTTCTTTCTTCATTCCCCGTTTATGAATTGATTTGGGTGTGGTTTTACGTGGTGGGCTTGGTTTCATTTACTTCGTGAACGGGCATGACACGGAAACATTGCAAATAACTTAAAATGGCTTTGTCTCTGTACTAGTATTCCAGAGCAATCGTCCAAACAGCGTCCCTAACTTCCAAATTTTATTGCGCATTGTCATAAACGGGATATTGCTGGAAAGGAAATTTTTTTCTCTATCTGTGAGTACCAAAAACTGATTTTACCAAAATCCCGCAGATAGCCTGGTTTTCTCATATCGGGTCACATTTATTGTTGAAATTGTATTATTGTAATAAAACAAAAATCAATTATGACTCAAATTACATCATTTATTAGCTGCACGTGTTTCCCAGAGTGCCACTGGAAGTCTGGCGGTGTTCAGAACGAAGTGATCTAGGGCAGTGCACCAGACCCGAAATCCTGCCACTCAAATGTCAAAAAGGGATCGGGTCCGGCTATGTGAGACTACATTTTTTGTTCCATGTTGACTATGTATTAATGTCGTGCTGTATTAATTAGTCTTAGAATGAGTACATAATAATAGGGAGAGTGTCGTACAGACTTATGCCGGCTGCTACATTCTAGCATATTATTTATTTGACTCTCAATGTGAAAATTGGCAGAGTCTTTGTGTCTTTAATTGCCTGTCACTGCAACAGGCTTGTCTTTCCAAATGTCAAGCAACTATTAAGCTTTCTAAACATAGATAGCGAAAGAAGTCATCTTTTACCAATATGATGTCTTCCAACTTGTTTCAGCCTCATAAAAGTGCTCATGGTGAATCCTCTCACGCCTATAATAATTGTAAATGTGTGAAATGTTAGATTCTTATATATCAAAGAAATATACTGATGTAAACAACATGCCATTATATAGCAAGCTGCTGTAGGTTGTTGGATACTCTCCCGAATATTATGTAATCTTGGTGTTACTAACAAGGAAAGATTATTTCGTTCACCCCAAGGGTGAGACTATAAGCTAAGTATACATGACAATGCAATATTGTTGTTTTTGTGCTTCTTAACTTGTCTTATTGAAGTTTAAGTGCCATGCAAATGTAGATACTTGATGGTGGTTGGTAATTGTTAGCAAGTTTGCCATAGCATACAGCAGTTTTTGGAGAAAAATCTCTTTTCACATTTGCTCTACAAAGAACTGTTGAAACTATGACTGGAAGTGCAAAATGGTGGTAAGAAACTTCTATGATTGATGAATACAGACAAACACTATGAGTGTTAGCGAGGAAAGCCATACATGTAATGAAGTGTAGCATTGATATTACATGATGGCAGTTTGGAATCACTATTAGCCTACATGTAGCTGATTGAGATTGAATTGGCACCAGCAACGCAATATTACTTTGCTTATTGTCACATTTTAATTTTATTCCTTTTCTTTATTCCAGAGACAGCTTTGTTGCTAATGAATCGGCATTCATCTCGCCCTCCTTTTGTAAACATGCCAGAGAAAAACACCCAGGAATAAGGAGATAAATAGTCCCTTACGACATGTGGGCACTGTTTATTTTTGATATGGCCTAATCTTTCTGGGAAGATCCTGATCATCATAAAGAATATGTTGTGACACGTTTAGGTCGTCAACTTAATTGAAATGTCTGGGCTTTTGGTTTCGATGTTCATGTTGATATCCTAGGGAACTTACTTGAAAATAAAACTCTTGGTAAGCAGGGTTTCATACTAGAATTTCTATTTTGGGTAGGTTAAACCGAGGTGGCAGAAGGTTGCCCGGAACATTATAGATTTGAGGTTTCCATATTGTGATTTTTTGCTAAATGCTAATCTTGGACAAGCCATTATAAACATTATCTCATATACAAATTAAGGACTTTTTAATTTTTTTGGTTTCAGAACTTTCATTCCTGCAATTAAAAATTTTGGGATAAAATACGATGATATGCTATTTGATGGAAGCAGGGAAACCTGAAGTTTGAAAGAACACTAAATTTTTGGTGATTGGCTGGTTTTAATTCAGACCATGCCACAGGCTATGGTTTAAATGTGGTAGATTTTTGTTTTAGTGGTTGCACTGGATTCACAAAAATTATTTTGTTCACAATACATGCATAATGGTGCTAGATCTAACTATGGTAGCTGTATGCATTTTAGTTATTTTTGCATTTAATGTCACAAAAGTACATCATGAGACTCATTTGTGAAACCATAATGTCACTATGTGCTTTATTTTTCCTTTGATTTATGTTAGTCTTAATGACCCTGAGACATATTTCTAAGAAGACTAAGATAGATCTATCAAAGCAATTAAAGCATTGAATTGTTTATGATTGCATGTGTGATATCACAATCAATACTCTATTACTGACTATGTATTGTTCATATGGAAGTGTTGCATGACATTATCTATTGATTTATTATTCCTGTTCATTGGCTACTGCAACAATAACTTTGCCACTACAACTCTCTGGATTAGTCGATGTTATACATGCCGATCATCGATGTTTCAAGAATGACTTTTAAAGCAGCTTTGCTGCAATTGCAGTCTTAGTTTTCTAACTTTACTATGGGTCATTTCTAAACCAACATGAGGAATGTCCATTCTTACTTTGACAAACTGAAGAAAGTGGCACAGGTACGTGTAGTATTAACCTATACTCAATTGTAAGTGTGTAACCACTTTTGTTTTTTTTTCTCATGAAGCACTACTGAGGATAGTTGTAGTAGTCTCATTGTATCTATAAAACTCTCAAACATTAAATGTAAACCAAATGATGATAAAACCAAGTGTGTTGTAAAAAATGACCATTGTAGTAGTGGTCTGATTGTATCTATAAAACTCTCAAGCATTAAATTAAAGACAACTAATCCAAAAAAGATTATGTCATCTTTACTTATGAAGAGCCTCCCAATCCAGATAATGTAAGGAGGAGACAAAGGGATTATGTTTATTACACTGCTAATGAAGAAGTTCAAAGAAGGTGGTGTGAGATATTGAACCTTAATTTTGTAACAGCTGCTAGAATCTTACCTGGCAGTCCAACAACACCATTGTCAGATGAAAGAGTTCTTAATGGTACTCTTGATGTCCCTGGTGATGGGAACTGTTTATTTTATGCCCTTTCATATCTCATTACTGGGTCCATTTCTCAGCATTATGAATTACGTAGAGCAATTGTTAGTAATATGCCAAACTTTGAAGAAGAATTGTTTAATAGTACATTAAGTGCAACCAGATATTTAAGCATATATGATTACATAAATAAGTCAAAAATGTATAGAAATTATGTGTGGGCCACTGACACAGATTATTACACTAACAGTATTATTAGGTATAACCATTATATTCATATTCACTCACTCCTACTTTGTTGGCTGGGCTAGATATGGAACCCAGGTGTTGTATCGCATTCCTTGTGATACTACTACACCTGCTTTGTATTTGAAGAGTGTTGGTACTAATCATTTCCAAGCAGTTAAGTCTGTTAATATTTCTTAAAGCATTGATTGTTGATGGAAAGTGGGTATGGTGAGTGGGAGGTCCATCATCTTTAAAACATTGGTTGTTTAATGCGACTTTTATTTCACTGCATGTGCAATGTGAGTGTGTGTAAAAACATGGTGCATATCCACCTATTATTGCTCAGTATGAAGTGATCAAACTGCATTCAGGATGTGAGATAAATCAATGTATAACAGTGAATATTGATTACTTGTTGCTATAATGGACAGGGAGAGGGTGTGAAAGAGGTTTACTGTTCATTAGAGTTTAGCATTGATTCAATTTTGTGTGACTATCATTTATGTAGGACAGAGGGTTAGGAAGGGAGGAAGCTGTCATTATCATTTCCCGATCTTGTTTGGGGCTTGTACTACATGTTTATAACAAATATCAGGTGCTTATGGATCAAGGGTGCTCTGACAAATTTTGAAGGACAAGAAAAATTTAGAGTAACAATAAAAGTTCTCATTTTACATGTAGTATCATTCAAACAGTGATTTGGTACATATATTAATGATCATCATACATGTCAATGCTGCCATCAATGCTGTGCTCATTACATATATGTAAATGCTTGCCAGCTGATGTTGTGCATAATGCTGCCATCAATGCTGTGCGCATTATTAAGTTAATGCTTGCCGGCTGATGTTGCACATTTGAATGATGCTGCCATCAATGCTGTGCGCATATTAAATGCTTGCCAGCTGATGTTGCGCATTATTTGTTGATGATTGTTGTAAATATGTGCATGTTCACATTAACAAAAAATATTGTTTGCACATTGGAAATTCTTCATGTGCACAATGTTATTTTATATTAAGCAGGTCATGAAAGTATCTTAAATGAGAATATCATTAGTAAGCAATATGATGTCTAAAATGCATGCCATTTATGATCCAATCAGTAACGTTGTAGATGCTACCATTATCATTATTAGTTAGTATGTCACATGCATACTGTTTATAGGTACTTTACGTACTTGGCACAAGGACTACAATGTGGTGTTAAAAGTGAGGTTTGATGTGATTGGTAAGTGCTATTGTTATTATTAGCCTGTGAGTTTACATTGCTTGCTTTTGATATGTTTCTATTACTATGCTTTACAGGTAATTAGAGCTGGAAATGATTTGCTGATTCAGCAATACTTTTGCTTGATATTGGAATGTGAAATATAATTAAAGGCAATTCTGGATTTAGATTGTTGAAACTAAATTAATTTCTTTCTTAATGTTTTGTTGCAGCTCCTTGATCAGTAGTTGTATCATGCAGTAGTAGGTGCCAGTTTACATCTGTATAGGTTTCATATTACTGTAGTCTTAGCAATGGAATATGTAGTTAGGCAAAGAGTATTGTGAAATGTCTTATGTATTTTTGTTATAGGTTATGATTCTAGGTTACATACTGTAGATTAGCTTGATGATTATATCATTAATAATGGCCACAGTAAGTACTTTCTTTAGTCAATATAAATGAATGCTTGCCAATGCATCTTTTATTGTGTGCCATTAACAATACTAAAATAATTGTTTGCACATTGGAATGTATTCATGTGGTCTATTAATGTGTATTTCCACAATGCAGGTCTCGTAAACTGCGGAAAAGTGTAAGAGCTGTGAGCAAGAAAGTGGCAACTGAAGCTGAATGTAAACTTAAATAGTTTCAGAACCGGACATAGATCTTAGTAATGACAACTAATGATTAATAATTATGAGTTAGGCTATGAATATAATTAATGATTCAAAAATTCAAAAACTGATTTTATAATGCGGTAGGTGTCCTTATGGTTCTTATTTCAAAATTCTTTTCTTCCATTAATGAACTGATACCTAAGGCAAAATTTATAATTATGAATAAAAAGGATTATTAATTAATAAAATTTAATAAAAAGTATGGAAACAAGTAAATAAAAAAATTTCTATAATTAAGAAAAAGTAGGGTTGTCAAAAAATAAAAGAAACATGGGGGTTGAGTACAACCATAATAATAATTAATAGTTCAATTAATAATAATAAACTTTAATTAATAAAATAATAATTTATTCATGAAAATAATACAAAAATTTAAAACCCTACTTTGCAGATAATGGTAAAAGGCAGACTACAATGTAAATAGCATTTTAATAACGATTATGCCTCTGTACCTATTGATTGCTCTACTACAATACTATGATGTAAATTAATTATTGTGATGAATATAAATAAGACTTTTCAGCTAGTATTGATTGAATAACGCGTCATTGCAATAAAAAAAATCTAAATTATGGATAGGCTAAAGCATTCTTTGAATTTTGGGATTCAGTACAATATTTAAAATTTAAAATATTAATATATATGCTTCTTAGAAATTATAATTGCATGGAATCGCCACGTTATTATTTTCTGCAAAGTAGGGTTTTGAAATTTTTGTATTACTTTCATGATTAAATTATTTTTCTATTAATTAAAGTTTATTATTATTAATTGAACTATTAATTATTGTTATGGTTGTACTCAACCCCCTTGTTTCTTTTATTTTTGACAACCCTACTTTTTCTTATTTATAGAAATTTTTTATTTACTTGTAATAATTGATAGAGGCCTTAAGATAGTAATATAATACTCTTGTACAATTCCATATACAGTTGAGTGAGGGATCTGAAGTACCCTCTTGAGTTTTTAAGGGGTTATCAAACCAACACTAAGTTGAAGTATAGAAACCAAACAATGAAAGGAATGATTCTTAGGCTGAAATTCTCTGCATTACTACTTGAATGAGATAGATCCTGAGGAAAGTTTAGTTTAAACATCAACTACATTTCTTTCTCTTCCTCCTCTACTCGATCCAACTCTCACTCTAAACTCTCTCTTTACTACTGTACCACAAACAGATCCATGCACTTTTACTTTAACAGAGTATCCAGGTTGTGGAATGCTCTTCCATGTATTGACCTCTCCCTCCCCACTATCGAAGAACAAATAAAGAGATTTTTGTGGTCTCATTTTTAGACCACTTTGATTCCACTGACTCCTGTACCTTCCACTTCTTATGCCACTGCTCCAACTGTCACTAGAAATCCCTGCTCACTCACATCTATCTCATGGTTCATAACCATTACTGTCACTATCACTATCCTTCCCTTTTGGCGTTGAACAGTCCCGCCAAGTGGCACCAGCCCCCCGCCCAGGTCCATTGACACTGGGCAGGTGTTGTGGTTAC